TCAGCGGTTCACGCTGTCCGCGCCACCACAGCTTGACCAACTGAAATCCGGCGGCAGCATGTGAATCGGGTCCAGCCAGACGCCGCCCCGCTCGACCGTTACCCGCTCGAAGTGCGGGTGCTGTCGCACGCTGGTCCCCGGCTGGCCCTCATTCACCGAGGGCAGCACGTAGTAGCTAGCGGAATCGGTCGCGCACGGTGAAGTTGGCGCGCGACCGTTTTCGTGTCGTGGTAGATCCGCAGGGTCGCTTCATAGTTGAGAACGTGTCCGACACACGATGCGACTCGATCGATACGTATGGATCTAAGACTGGGCCTCGTGCCACACGTCGGGAACGGCACGCTGCGCGCGGTAGGTCCAACATTGATTTGTCTACCGGACCTTCAGGCGTGCGGAGTCGCAGACGACTGGTGTCAAGTCCAGACGGGCACGTCCAGAGCCGTGTAGTCCTCCTGGTCCACGAGGGTAGTATTCCGTAATTGTCGCGCCGTTTCCACTCCACCTGGGCGGAACTGGTTTTTCAACGCGCTCGTGACAGCGCCACGCAAGATCAGGGTCTCCGGTAGCGGATCACGTGGCACAGCGGCTGAACGATTGCCCGCGGTGATTCGATCTGGAAATATGGGTGTATCGCAGGAGTCTGTATCACACGATCACGATTCCTCGATTCGCAGCCATCAGGCGGTTATGTAGAACTGCTTCGACCGCCCACCGTGGGGCCACCGCCGCCGGTTTGTTGATGATCGGATGAGCACGGGCGCAACGGTCCACGTAGGCTTCGCCAGCCTCATGGCCGTACCCGGCCCTCGGGCAAGGCCTGGCACGATTGAATATCGCACCATATGCCCTTGTGCCTGAAGAGCCCGGGAGTCCAACTAATGGGCAGCCCCGTGATTGCATGAACGGCGTGTCGGAACTGAACTGGAGACGGGCCCAGAACGACAGGCTGCTGGCATCATCCAGGATTCTACAGCGGGCGCGACAGCTCCAGCTAGGTATGAAGGCGCCGTCCACCAGGTCATCGTCTGTCAGGGTGCTGCGTTAGCGCGTTCAGGCGTGACACCTCGATGTCGAGGGACGGCGCCGACCCGGCCATGTCGCCGGTTCCTGGTACGGATATCGAGAGGTGGCCATGCGACGGGATCGCCACGCAAGCTCAACGTCCGGACCGCAGCCGGATTGGTGGCCACGAAACCGAGGCTGGGAAGGGTCTACAAGTGACGGTGCGCCGTGGTCACCGTGCCGGCTTGCCACCGTTTTGGCCGGTGCACCGTTGACGCGTGCACACGTGCGTCGTCGTCAGAAGCGCACAAGCGGGAGCACCAGGGAGCGTCGCGGGCCGTCCGCCGAGTCGTGGTCGGCTGTTTCATCAGGAGACAAGCAGGGCGGAACAAATCTCCCGTGGGGTCTGGCACCCGAACGGATCGTGAGCTGTGTGGTAACCGATTGGATACCAGGCAACAGGACGCCGACCAGTACGCCGACTGTGGCTATCGCCATCGCCAGCGCACACGGCAAGCGCGCGCTTTGTCTCGTTTTGCTAGTCATTTGCTCGGAATCCCTTTGAAGGATCGTATTTTGCCCGCCCTAATCCAAGGGAGGTCAGATGAGGCCGGTTCGATCCCCGAAACCAGTTACCGGCCCTCCCTTGTTCCCACGTTAAGGGACGGTCACCAAAACGGTCCGCTGTTGCGGAAGTCGGTTCCTCGCGCCAAGGGCCACATCCTGGACCCCGGTAGGGCCGGGGGCGATAACTGAAAATCGTTGTAGAAGTCAGCCGGTTTCAGCAGTCGGGCTCACAGTCTGCGAGTCGACAAAACTTACGGTTTCGTTGAGCAACTGATGATATTGCCGTTCTGCACGTTCGCCGAAGTCCCACAACACGATGATGGTGGTTGGATGACCGCGACCGACCACCCGCGACTACGCGCGGGTCACGTGCTCGGGAGAGGGGGTAAGATAGTTCATCCGTATAACCGGTATAACGGTTACGTCCGCCCGCATACCAGAAGGTTTTTGTGTTAGTGGTGATCTGTGCACCAGCTCGTCGCAGAGCGAAGATGCCTATGTTGGACGGTGTCGCCGTTCTCGGGGCCGGCCGGATGAGCGGTTGAACGTGGCTTGCCCGTTTTCGGAGAAAGCCGTCACGTTGCCCTTTTCCGTCCAGGCGCTGTTATTCCGGACGGTCAATCGCTTTCCCACGACGATCCGAAACACATCTCGAATCTATGGAGGAGGGGATGTTGAAAGGCGGGAGGTGTTGCCGGCGCGGCCCGTCGGTTTAGCCTTGATGGTGTGTAGCCAAGCGAAGAGGGAAAAGAAGCCAGCGGGATATCTCATCGCGGTGACTCATACATCGCAGGGTCGACGCCAACGGTGGATCGTCAAGGTGGTTTCATGTTGATCCTCGGTACCGCCAGGCGGTGAACTGTCTGTGCCACGTCATGTATTGACCCGGAGTGGGTCTCACGTCGATCGTTGTACCAATCACCATCGGCACAGTGGCTGTTAGAAGCGTCTTCGTGCAGGTCGTTGGCTTCGTAATCGCCGTGTCATCAGCGTGTGATGATTCGTACCTTTTCGGTCTTCATGGTGAGGCATTCCAACTGGAAGACGCCAGTAGCATCAGTCCGAGTACGTCCTGTGCTAGTGGGAAACCCTGAACGTGGCACCCGGAGGGAAGGAAAACGGTGCGACGTACGGCTATCTTTTGTCCGCACGTGTCTTTGTGGTCTCTCGTCAGCGTCATACACGCACAGTCGGCTTCGGACCATAGTCAAGACGCCAGCCCGTTTCAGGGTGCGGTACGGACCCAAGGTACTATGCCAGTTCCACCCGAGAACTTGACAGTCACCTTTTGAGGACGACTGGGCCCGTTACCCGACCAGCCGTTGACAGGAGTTCGCGTCAAGAGTCAGGCCGGGTCCACCTCATCCAATGTACGTCGATCTGCTCTTGATCATTCCAGGATCTTTGTAGTCCCGTAGAACATGCCGTCGGAGTCTCGTAATCCAAGGGCGGGTTAGTGTGAAATCGCTCGCGGCAATGGCAACAAACTGGAGCCGTCCATGTACTTCAACCGTGAGGTGACGGTCCCACGCCAGCGGGCGGCAATACTCGTCTACTACCGCTGGCATGAGAGGACTATTGAGGACTCGGTCGAGGATTGCCAACGACGGCCAACCAGATGCAGACCGTATCGTCTTGTCATCTGCGTTGCATAAGCCCAGCCGTCAGCGACATCGGTTTGTCAGCACGGCCACATTCCGTCTGCGATCGCAAAGTTGGCTTCATTTCATCACCGGGCGCGTCTAGGGGCGGTCGCTGAAGGGTCAGGCCACTTTTGATCGGGCGCGGCCATAGGAAATTCTTGTTTCAGGTCTGTTCCGACAAGGTTCCCTGAACGACCACGGTTCCGCCAGCACCACGCCAGTATCGATGGGTCGTTGTCTGCAACTGCACGCCCACGAACACATAGATATATCTCTGGAGTCAGCCGCGTCGACCCGTCTATGGTCAGCGTTTCCGCACTGGGAGGAACCAAGGAGCACCGACCCCCCTCAATGAACCTACCGCGCAATGATCTGCAAGGGGGGGTTCATGTGGACGGATCAATCGCCTCATTTTCCATCACGAAAGTCGCGAATGAGAGGTTGTGCCGGAATCGTTGCTGAGATCGCATTTGCAGCTTTGTTCTCCATTCGGAGCCCGTCGGGCAACCTTAGTTGTGCGCTGCGTCCCCGACGTTTGGAGCCATTACACATAATATTGTAGTCTTGGCACCGGAGGTGGACTTTCCTACGAACATGATCGTAGCTTCCGACCCAGAGACTTACCTCGCGTTGTCTCCCGGCGTCTGCGCTCTATGTCTTGGTCAAATGGGCTCGTTCTCGTCTACGTTCAAGTTGTTGACCGTTTGCAATCGGGTAGCTTGGCGCATCTCGCGTTTGGCCACTGCCTAGGCACCAGCCAAAGCCCTGCGGAGACGAAGGCGGCCAGGGCGAGCACTTGTTTGCCCCAGGGGCGATTGGCAACCAGGGCCAATCCTTTTCCATTCTTTGTTCTCATCTGTAAGATCTCCTTGTAGCTGGTAGGGAACCTGGGGTTCTAAACAAATGGCACAAGCAAGTTGTTTCTTTGCTTCTCGTTCGTGCGGGCGGGCCCGATGGGGTCCTGGTTTCGCGCCGTCGTTTTATTGTTGTGCTATCACCTCCTGTGTATGGCCGGCCCGTTGGAGCCGGGGCATGCCGGCACGAGTCGCGGCTGGATGGGTTTCCAGACTTGGCCTGCAATTGTAGCGGCGTCAATATTACGGGAGTATTACAAATAGGGAGCGGGTTTGGGTGAATTTTTGAGAAAGGGCCACGGATTGCCACGGCGCAAGCGCCTCGCAATGACAGGGGGTGAGGACGCCTCGCAATGACCTGCCCTTTCAGACTTCGTGTCATTGCGAGCGCAGCCACGTCACCCCGCACGCGCAGCCACGTCACCCCGCACCTGATGCGGGGGGCGGCAATCCCGCCGGACGCGTGTGCTAAACTGCGCGCAGCTCCCTGGGAGATAGCGATGAACGACATCACCGTGAACGCCTACATCCTGTACGCCTTCATGGCCTTTCAGAGTCTGCTGCTGCTGGCGCTGCTGGGGGCCGTACTGCGTATGCTCTTCGTGATGGGCCGGATGCAGGGGGAAATCAACGGCCTGCGGGAGGCCATTGCCGCCCTGGCGGCCCGGATTGACCGGGTGGAGGAGCAGATTATCGACCTGCGGAATCAGATCGCCGGCCTGCGGGAACAGGTGGGCGAAGTTCGCGGTTCGCTGCGGGCGCTGCACGAGCGGGTGGACCTGGTGCTGCGTCACCGCCACGACGACCAGTCGGGCGCCGTCATGCTGACTCCCGCGGAACCGGTGCCCGACCCGGCGGCCGACTAGCCGGCGGAAGGATTAACGGCGGCGGCCATTGCATCACGGAGGGCGATGCCGGCGGCTTGCCCCCGGCGATGATTGGGAGTAATATACCCCCTGCCGCCAAGAGCGCCGGAAATTGGCCCGGCCTGGAGTTCGGGTTCGTATGGGGTCCGGGAGCACTCGGGCTCGGGACGACGGCGACGTGGCTCCGGGCGATCCGACCGCCGGATCGCCGAACAACTGGAGGAGGTAACAAAACCGATATGTTCGACAAGGCTTCGCTGGACCAGCTTTTTGAAGAACTGCGGGACGAGTTCGAGCTGGAGACCGACTGGGAAGACATCCAACGGGACGCCCACCTGGGGGTGGCGTTCGCTGACGCCGGCACGCTGGACGACCGGAAGGGCGGGCTGGACGCTCGCATCGTCGAGTTCGTCGAGCGGCACAATCCGGGCTAGTCCGGTCCCGCCAACCCCCGCAGGTGCGCCCCGCCGGGAAGCCGGCGGGGCATTTTTGGTGTTTGCTCAACTGTCATTGCGAGCGAAGCGCGGCAATCTCGTCAGGGCCTGCAACGCACTGCCGGGATTGCCGCGTCGCCAAGGCTCCTCGCAATGACAAGGGTAGGAGGCGCTCGCAATGACAAGGGTAGGAGGCGCTCGCAATGACAAGGGTAGGAGGCGCTCGCAATGACAGGGCCTGTGTATTGTCATTGCGAGGAGCCGCAGCGACGCGGCAATCTCGATGCGTTCAGCCGTACCAATCGGCGGCCAGGTCGTCGTGCGCCGGATTCACCTCATCGATCAGGGCAACCTTGCGCGCCCGCGACCACGATTTCAGCTGCTTCTCGCGGGCGATGGCAGCCTCGACGTCACCGGTCTCTTCGAAATGCATCAGCCGGGTCAGGTTATACCGGGCGGTGAACGACCGAGGATCTTTCCTCTGCCGGTGCTCGAACACCCGTCGGGGCAGATCGTTGGTTACACCGACGTAAAGGGTGGTGAACCTGGCATTGGCCATGATGTAAACGTGGTAAGACTTGGAGTTGGGCATTGCAGTCGGCGAGAGGCGCTCGGGGTGCGACGAGATTGCCACGCTGCGCTCGCAATGACAAGAGGGATTTGGGGGTTGGCAATGACACGCGCGCCGGGACTGTCATTGCGAGGAGCGTTAGCGACGTGGCAATCCCGTTGCCTGGACGACGTCTGCTCGCGCGGCGAGATTGCCACGCTGCGCTCGCAATGACAAGAGGGAGTGGAGAATACCCACCGATTTGCTGACACGGCGCTATTGACGTATGGAACGTTTGTTCGGTAACCTGTGAAGCGTGGCCTGCACAATCTGCAAATTCAGGCCACGACAAGCGAGGTAACAAGTGTTGTTCTGTCGTCGTTGCGATTCCGACCGACTGCTGGAGCTGGCCCGACTGGACGGGGAAGACCATACGGTGTATCGGTGCCTGGGGTGCGGGTTCCTGTTCAGCCCGCCGGACGGGGACGCGGGAGGGGTGAACGTGCAGCCGGCCCCGACGCCGATCAACCCGGAGGAGGCGCGGCGCCGGGTGGCGTCCGTGGCGGCGGTGCGACGCCGGCCCTCCCGGGGCGCGTCACAGTAGTGGGGCGGCGTCCCGCGACGGACGTCTCAGCAACCATTGGCGCAGCAACCAATGCAACATCAACTAACCGAGCATCAACTAACCGAGCAGCAACCAACCGAGCAGCAACCAACCGAGCAGCAACCAACCGAGCAGCAACCAACGGAGCAGCAACCAACCGAGCAGCAACCAACGAGCAGCAACCAACCGAGCAGCAACCAACCGAGCAGCAACCAACCGAGCATCGACCGAACCCTCCGGCGCGGCGTGCCCGGCGTACCCGGCAGTTCAGGCTCCGGCAGCCCTGGCTAGCGATAGCGAAGGCGGTCCGGTGCGGTTCGCGTCGGACATCCTGGGCGTGCAGTTGTGGCACAAGCAGGAGGAGGTGCTGCGGGCGGTGGAGCGCGAGCGGCGCGTGGCGGTGAAGTCGGGCAACGGCCTGGGCAAGGACTTCACCGCCGCGGTGGCCGTGCTGTGGTATGTCCACGCCCACGACCCAGCCATCGTGCTCAGCACCGCGCCGACCTTCCGGCAGGTGCGCCACGTGCTGTGGCGGCAGATTCACCGGCTGTACCGGGGCGCGTCGGATGTGCTGGGCGGGCGGATGCTGGACACCCGCTGGGACCTGGCGGAGGACCGCTACGCCCTGGGGCTGTCGGCCAACGACGCCGACCAGTTCCAGGGCTTCCACTGCGAGAACATGTTGGTGGTGGTGGACGAGGCCGAGGGGGTCGCCGAGTCCATCTACGAAGCGGTGGAGGCGGTGATGACCTCGGCGAAACCGACGCTGCTGCTCATCGGGAACCCGACCACCAGCTCCGGCGGGTTCCACCGGGCCTTTCACCGGGAGCGGGGGATCTACGAGACGATCACCATATCGGCCCTGGAGTCGCCCAACGTGGAGGAGGGGAGCATCGTCATCCCCGGGCTGACCACGCCGGCCTGGGTCGAGGAGCGAAGGAAGATGTGGGGCGAGGGCAGCGCGATGTTCCGGGCCCGGGTGCTGGGCGAGTTCCCCGACCGCGGCGAGGACAACCTGATTTCCGTATCGGACATCGAGGACGCCACGTATCCGCCCGGCGAGGTTCCCGGCCGGCGAGGTTCCGCCCGGCGAAGTTCCGACCGGCGAGGTTCCGACCGGCGAGGTTCCGGCAGACACGGTCGGACACCAGCCGGCGGTGGTCGGCGTGGACGTGGCGCGGTTCGGCGCCGACCGCACCGTGATCGTCGTGAGGCGGGGCGCCACGGTGGTGGACATGCAGGTGTTCCACGGGTTCGCCAACACCGAGGTGGCCGACGAGGTCCAGGCGGTGGTCCACGAACAGCGCCCGAAGCAGCTGAACGTGGACGCGACGGGCGTTGGGTCCGGCGTGGTGGACATCCTCAACCAGGAGGGCCATCCCGTCTACGGCTTCCACGGGGCCGGCGCGCCCGTGGACGAGGCGGACACCTGCGCCAACCTGCGGGCGGAGGGGTACTGGACCCTGGCGCGGCGGTTCCGCGACCACACCATCCGCATCCCCCGGGACGCGGAGCTGACCGCCGAGCTGGCGTCGCTGCGGTTCCGCTACAACAGCCGGGGCAAGGTGCTGATGGAAAGCAAGGAGAGCATCAAGCGGCGCGGGCTGCCGTCGCCGGACCGGGCCGACGCCCTGATGCTGGCCTTCCTGGACGTGGAGCTGCCGCTGGAACACCCCAGGTGGATGCGGGACCTGTTCCTCAAAACGGGAACCTGAAAAGGGGAACCTGCTAAACGGGAGCCTGTTCCCTATAAGCCTGTTCCCTATAAGAATGAACGGCATACGAGATCGCGCCGGCAATTGCGCCGGCGCGAGGCGAAACGGAGTGGTAACGATACCGGTGATTGCAGGAGTGGATGGGAAATGGTGAAACTGGGAAAGATGCTGAGCGTGGCGCGCCTCCCAAGGCGCAACGATGCGGACACCAGGGTCGTGCAGCGCGCAAATCGGGCGGCGTTGGCCGACCGGCTGCCCGCCGAGGAGCGGTTGTCCGGCCTGGCCGCGGACACCGGCGGCGGCTGGGCGCGGCCGGAGTACGGGCGGTACATGGCGACATCGCCGTCGGTGTACGCGGCGGTCAAGCTGCGGGCCGACGCCATCACGCGGCCGCCGCTGCGGGTGTACCGGACCAGTGAGGCCGGCGGGCGCCGGACGGCGGTGGAGCCGTCGCATCCGGTGACGCGGCTGCTGGACCGGGTGAATCCGTGGCACACCCGCGCCGACCTGTGGCGGGCGACGGAGACCCACCTGTGCCTGTGGGGCGCGGCCTTCTGGGCCATCGAGCGGGACGAGGACGGCCAGCCGGAGCTTTGGCCCCTGCGTCCCGACCGCGTGGCGGTGATACCGGACCGCCAGCGCTACGTGCGGGGGTTCGTGTACCGCGGGGTCGCCGAGCCGGTGGCGTACACGCCCGATGAGATCGTGTGGCTGCGCTACTTCAACCCGCTGGAGGAGCTGGCCGGCCTGTCGCCGCTGGCGCCGGCGCGGCTGTCCGCCGACATGGGGCACGAGGGGCTGCGCTTCAACCGGCACCTGCTGCGCAACTCGGCGCGCCCCGACTTCCTGCTGCTGACCAACGAGGAGATGAACGAGTCCGAGCTGGAGGAGTTCTACGCTCGCTGGGAGATGCGCTACCAGGGATCGGCCAACGCCAACCGGCCGGCGGTGGCTTCGCAGGTGCGGGACGTGAAGACCCTCGGCCTGTCCCACCGCGACATCGACTTCATCCAGGGCCTTCGCTGGAGCCTGGAGGAGGTTAGCCGCGCCTACGGGGTGCCCAAGCTGCTGCTGGGCGATTTCGAGAGGGCCACCTACGCCAACGTGCAGGCGTCGGAGCGCATGTTCTGGCGCAACACGGTCGTGCCGGAGGTGAAGTTCCTGGAGGAGCAGCTGAACCGGATGCTGCTGCCCCGGCTGGGCTACCCGCAGCTGTCGGTGGAGTTCGACCTGTCGGCAATCGAGGCGCTGCAGGAGGACGAGAACAACCGGGTGCAGCGGGAGTCGGCGCTGCTGGACCGCGGCGTCCTCACCATCAACGAGGTGCGCCGCGAACGCAACCTGCCGGAGGTGCCGTGGGGCGACGGGCCGGCCGGTGCAACATGACCACCGCACATTATCCGGTCGCGGGCAGACACTTTTGAGTACACGTGTTGCCACAAGAGTGTGTGAGGTGAACCAATATTGGGTTGAATATCACCCGGGCCGGCCCGATAATGCCAGCCGGCACCGATTTCCGGCTAACCTCACCTCAGGCGCCATCGTCCCCGCGCGGGAACGGTGGCCAGGGAGCGACGGATGATTGCAGTGTTCGGCGGCATCCTCGGCGGCGTTGGGCTGCTGTTCTTCGGGATGTGGCTCCTCTCCGAGAACCTCAAGACGGTGGTGGGTCCGCGCCTGCGGGTGCTGGCCAGCCGCCTGGCGGACAACCGCTTCGCCGCCTTCGGCTGGGGCACGCTGGCCGGCGCCATCACGCAGTCCTCGCCGGCCGTCACGTTCATCACCATCAGCATGCTGCGGTCGGGGCTGATCTCGGCGAAGCAGGGCTACCCCATCGCCCTGGGCGCGCAGATGGGCGTCGGCCTGATCTTGTTCATCGTGACGGTGGACATCCGCGTGGCCGCGCTCTATGGCATCGGCATCGGCGGCCTCATCGTCACCCGCCTGCACCGGGGCAACTACCGCGAGGCCGGCGCCATGCTCTTCGGCGTGGCCGCGCTGCTCTTTGGCCTCGTCTTAATTAAGGAATCGGCGCACCCGCTGGCCGATCAGGCCTGGTTCCAGGCCGGCCTGGAGATCTCGGCAGGATCCATCCTGCTGTCCTTCATCCTGGGCGCGCTGCTGACATTCATCGTGCAGGCGCTGGTGCCGGTGGTGGCTTTCGGCATCGGGCTCGCGGCCGCCCAACTGGTGGGCGTGGAGCAGGTGCTGATGTACATCTACGGCTCCTACGTTGGGCTGGCCATCAGCGTGATCGCGGTCTCCTCGGGGCTGAGCGGGACCGCACGGCAGCTGGGAATGTTCTGGGCGTTCCAGGTCTTCTTCTCGGCGATCATACTGGTGATCCTCCTATATATAGAGGTGTACGCGCAGGTGCCGCTGGTCAAGGCGCTGGTGACGTGGCCGGACATCGGCCTGGGTCCGCAGATGGCGCTGGCCGTCATCGTGTTCGGCATGCCCTCCCGCATCGTAGTGCTGTCGGCGCCGGACTGGACCATGGGGCTGTTCGCCCGCATCTGGCCGGCCAGCGCCGAGGAAGAGAGATCACGACCCCAGTTCATCCACGACCAGGCCATCGACGACGTCACCACCGCGTTGGACCTGGCGCACCTGGAGCAGAAGCGCGTGCTGGGCAGGTTCTCGGAATACCTGGAGCAGGCGCGCATGGGACTGCCCCTGGGAGCCGTCCGTCAGGCGACGCTGGAGGTGAACTCCCGCATCGACGAGTTCCTGAACGAACTGGGACAGCAGCATCCGGGGCAGGACAGCGAACGGCGCAACGCGGTGCTGAGCCGCCAAAAGCTGATCACCTGGCTGGAGGAGCAGTTCTCCACACTGCCCGACCTGCTGCGCGACCTGCCCGAGGACGACATGCTGGATACCTTCCAGATCAGCGTGGTAGAGGGCACCGACGCGGCGCTGCTCATCTTCCTGGACGCCCTGGAAGAGGACGAGGCCGACTCGTGGGAGTTCGTCGGGCAGGTGATGGGCGACCGCCGCAGCCTGATGCAGGACGTCCGCGCCCGCTACCTGGCCATGGCCCCCGAGGAGGACGACGGCCGCCACCGCATCATCGTCGAAGCCACCAACGCCGTGGAGAACATCTTCTTCCTGCTGGCGCAGCTCACGCGGGACTTCCAGGGGGAGACGAGGGAACCGGGGGCGGTTGGGGCGTAAAATATGCATGCCCAACTGCAATATATAATCGACGCACACTTTCGTTGCGGCGACCTGTGCACTTCCTGTTAGGAACCTTGAGAGAACCCGTCCAGTATTTCTTCAGGCAGTTTCATCGGCCGACGCAGGTGATCGAAGAACGGCATTACAGACTCGCCGATGTAATCCCACATGGCTCGATACTCGGCGTCCGTCCATGGTTGGTCGGGCGCGATCCCCATTTCAGTGCAATATTCGTTGATAGCCGCGAGTATGACAGTAGCCAAATGCTTGCGGTTGGCCAAGTCGAGAGCCCTGCTTATCACCAGCTCTATCGCTCCCTGCAAACCTCCAGTTTGCCCTCCAAAGTAGTCCAGCTCTTGCTCGGCTTCAGCCAAAAGCGAAGAATCCAGGTCGACGACCACCTCCAATTCAGCCCCGTCAGTGGGGTCGATCGCGTAGGAGTGCTCGAAGTGTTCGCCTTCATAGTTCTCAGACAGGCGAATGACACATCTCAGGATACCGAGGATCTCCACATATGCCATCAACTCGCGTGTGTCTGGGTCTCCCTTCACATACACACAATTGATGGGCATACCGAGTTCACGCTGGCTCAGCAGGTCTTTGTTGTAATAAGGGAAGATGCACTTCGTCTCATCGTCGCCCGCCATATAAGCCAGTCCGATCTCGGCACACCTTGGGTCAACTTCGGCATGGAAAACCAGGGCTAACGCGGATTTCACCAAGGATCTGTACTCGTCAGGCCCCCAACCGTGAGTGCCGTGATCGATAGGCTCATCGAGGTATATCGTTCGTTCGGTGGCTTGTTCTACGTGCGCTTCTACGTCTAGGTCCAGCCCGCGTCGATCGCTGATCTTTTGGATCATCTGACGAAGTTCGGCTCTCGTACTCGCTACCAGATGAAGCCCACTCCTGCCCTCTTCGCTGAACGCTTGTGGAGCGTTTTCGGCTAGCTCTACGCGGTTGCCAGGTAGTACACGGACGCGCAAACCATCGGACATTTGAGCGACACGACCACGAGGCAGAGGCTTTTGACGCGAGATGTCGAGGAGCAGGATTAGGCGTTCGAAGCTTTTCGCCAAAGCCGCATCGTAAGTGAGACCGATTCCGTTATTGCATCTACGGCAGGTGAAACCAATAACACTGCTCCCGCCGCCCACGGATTGCGGAATGATATGTTCTTTCGAACGGTTTTCGCCTGTCGCGGAGTCGCCGCACAGAACGCATGCGTGGGTGATCACCCCTGAGTTCGCATCGGATTGAGACTGACCGTTCATTATTCGAACTCTCAACATTAATATTTAGCCATTGATATAGTCTTTCTAGACCTGTTCGCCGTCGAGACTATCGACGTGGTTTATTGCGATCATCGGATAGCCTACCATGTCATCATAACCCAATTACCGCCAAGAACTGGGAGGCATCATGCGCACTTATCAAGCACAGGTTGAACAGAACCAAGACGGCCGCTGGAGTTCGTGGATAGACGACCTGCCCGGTTGCACTGCTTGGGGCTATACATGTGACGAGGCCCTGGCAGCCCTGAGCGATGCTGCCGTCGCCTACGTAGCCGATATGGTCGAGGCGGGCGAAATAGCCCTATCAGACGCTGAGGCGGCTATACAAGAACCGCCGGCGACGCGATGACCTCGCCTGCGAACCTGGCTCGGAGGCCTGGTAATGTCTCCGTTGATGAGTTGGTCGGCTAGTTGGAGTGAGACGGGTTTTACTATCGCCGGAGCATAGCTAGCCCGACAACAGCGGCTCCACCCGGTCCAAGAACCGCGCTACGTCGTCCAGGTTTCCCCTAACGTTCTGGTCGGTGTCCCAGTTCTCGTAGAAGTTGACGTGCAGGCTGTTGGCTACTGCAAACAGCCGTCGAATGTCCTCGTCGCCGGTTTCGGCAACCAGGCGAGACACCGTGAGGAACAATGCGGCGTGGTTCCGGTGTTCCCACCCGCGCTGCTCAGCGATGGCCTTGACCATCTGGGCGGCGGCGCCCCATCCCTTTTCGGAAGCCTGCCGCACATCGCCAATGGCTAGTTCCTCCCTGCCCTGCTGCAATAGCTGGCGACTGGCTGCCTGATAGGTTTGAGACACCATACTCGACCTCGACGGTGATAATAACAGTACGGTATGGCAGTAGTGGGAGAGTGTCAATCACGCAGGCCTCCACCAAGGTTTCGCCAAAGATCGCCCGCCCCTTGCCCTCCCCGCCGGCCTGTGGCAAACTTGCGGCTGGCAGTCGACACTGGACCACCAACATACGGGCGGGCGTAACTCAGTGGTAGAGTGTTTGCTTCCCAAGCAAAAAGTCGTGGGTTCGAATCCCATCGCCCGCTCCATATCCATACGTAGCCTCACATATACGTAGCCCCACAAAGCCGCCGGGAGGCGTGTCGCGACGCGGCAAGCGCTCCACACCGCCTGCGCCCAGAGGATTAGCCACACCATGACCACAACAGCCCAATCCTGGACTTCCAGCATCACCGAGATATCCGGCTCCAACGTGGAGGTCGTCACGGGCGGCTCCGGCAACCCGCTGGTCATATTGCACGACGAGTTGGGACATCCCGGGTGGCTGCGCTACCACGAGGCCCTGGCCCAGAACCACACCCTGCACATTCCGTCGCATCCCGGCTTCGGCGCATCCGATCAGTTGGACTGGTCGATGAAGATGCATGACATGGCCATCTGGTACCTGGGCGCGTTCGACAAGCTGGGGCTGGAGGGCGCCGACCTGATGGGCTTCTCGCTGGGCGGCTGGCTGGCCGCCGAGCTGGCCACTATGTGCCCGCAGCAGTTCCGCCGCCTCATCCTGGTGGGCGCCGGCGGCATCCGCCCGCCGGGAGGTGAAATCTACGACATCTTCGAGGTCACCCCACCGCTGTACATCCGCGACTCTCTGCTGGATCCCGACGGCACCCCCGAGTACCGCGACATCTGTCCCGCCGAGCCGGAGGAGGAGATCCTGGAGCGTTGGGAGTTCGCCATGGAGGGCACCTGCCGCGTCTCGTGGCGACCCTACATGCACGACCCGGGCCTGGTCCACCAAGTGTACCGGCTGGAGCGCGTCCCGACGCTGCTCGTCTGGGGCCAGCAGGACCGCATCGTCCCGGTCAGCGCCGGCGAGGAATACCAGCGACGCATCCCCGGGAGCCGCCTGGAGGTCATCGACAACTGCGGCCACCATCCCGAACTTGAGGCCACCGAGCGCTTCGTCGAGATAGTGGAAGGTTTCCTGGCTTAACCAGAGCCCAGCCAGGACCGGACAACGGCAAGGGGCGCAACGCAAATTGTGCCCCTTTTTGCATTTGCTGTTCCTGCGCTGTCATGACCTCGCATTCCGCGATAGAACTAACTACAGTCCCCGCAACTCCTTACAACTCGTCTATAAAGATATTCCGATGGTCGCGCCCATCACTATTGTATGTCCGCAACCGCACCAATCAGAAATGGCCGAATATTGCAAATCTGCCTCTGTTGCTTATTGTGGCATGACGTGTTAACCTAATCGGCGAAAGAAAGAAGAAACCCAAAACGAAAAGGTACGAAACCGGTAATGTTGGACGCTGACGTCAAGAAAAGGATCATCGAAGAATATCGATCACACGAGTCGGACACCGGCTCAACAGAACTGCAGGTCGCCATGATCACCGAGCGCATTCGGCAGGTGACCGACCATCTCCGCACCCATCGCAAGGACGTGCATTCGCGCCGAGGCTTGGTAACGATGGTTTCCAAACGCCGCCGCCTCCTCAATTACCTGAGCAGCGAGGACGTAAGCCGCTACCAGAGTCTCATCGGTCGGCTTGGCTTACGCCGGTAATTCGGCTCAAGGTGCCGGATCCCGGCAAACGCATGCCCTGCCCCAGCCGGTCGGCATAATTATCCGCCGGCCTTGCCACCCACGGACGGCTCCCCCGGCCGTCACCGCTGGCGTCCGGCTCGATCCTTCGGGGAGTCCACCCCGAACCCGTCCTTTCCCCACCCGCAAAGGCGCTACCCGACGCGTAACGTAACAATTTCAGAACGCTTCACACGTTGCCCATACACCTGGCCACTGGACAGCGCAGCGTTCTCAGCCCAGCGGGAAGCATCCGACCGCGCCGACAAAATTTGCAACCAAACCCCAAATGAAAACCGGCCCCCATTCACATGTAGCAGGCTGGTAGCAACAACGTTGGAAGAAGAGGTAGAGAGAACTGCTTTATGACAACTATAGACGCCGCCCAGGAATTGATGAACCCCTTCTCCATTGATAGCGAGATTGGCGGACATCCCGTAACCCTTGAAACCGGCCGACTGGCCCAGCAGGCTCACGGCGCCGTGACCGTCACCTGCGGAGAGACCATCCTCCTGGCCACCGCCGTAATGTCCGACCAGGCCCGCGAGGGGATCGATTTTCTGCCCCTGACGGTGGAGTTCGAAGAGCGGCTGTACGCCGTCGGCAAGATCCCCGGCAGCTTCTTCCGGCGCGAGGGGAGACCCGGCACCGAGGCCATCCTGTCCGCTCGCCTGACCGACCGCAGCATCCGTCCGCTGTTCCCCAAGGGGATACACAACGAAATCCAGGTCATCATCACCGTGCTGTCCGTGGACGAAGAGCATCCGCCCGAAACCTTGGGAATGGTTGCCGCCTCGGCCGCGCTGTCCATCAGCCAGATCCCGTTCGAAGGGCCCATCGGCGCCTGCCGCATTACCTGGGATGGCAGCAACTACGCGATCAACCCCAGCTATCAGAGCAGCAGCGCGGCGGCGCTCAACATGATAGTCGCCAGCAATCGCGACGCCATCATGATGGTTGAAGCGGGCTCGGTTGAGGTGTCCGAAGAAGTCATCCTGGAGGGCATCCGGCTGGCCCATGAAAGCAACGTCGCGATCATCGAGATGATCGACAAGATGGTGGCCGAACGCGGGACGGAGAAGATCGTAGTCCAGTTCGACTACTCGGCCACCGACGAACGCCAGGGTAAAGTCGACGCCCTGGTCAACGGCCGCATCTCCGAGGTTCTGGAACGCAACTCCTTCAAGAGCGAACGCGACTCCAGCCTTGAGGCTGTCGAGACGGAAGTGGCCGCGCAGCTGGCCGAAGACTATTCCGCCCGCGATATTGCCGAGGCTTTCAAGAACCTGGTCAAGAAGGAAGTGCGCGGCCGCATCCTCAACCAGAACGTGCGCCCCGACGGACGCAAGACCGACGAGATCCGCCCCATAACCTGCAGCGCGGGCGAACTGCCCCGCGCCCACGGCAGCGGCCTGTTCACCCGTGGCCAGACCCAGGTGCTCTCGATTGCCACGCTGGCCTCGCTGTCCATGAAGCAGACCCTGGACACCGTGGGTCCCGAGAACACCAAGCGGTTCATGCACCACTACAACTTCCCCCCCTACAGCGTCGGCGAGGCCCGGCGAGTGGGTTCCCCGGGAAGGCGTGAAATCGGACACGGCGCTCTCGCCGAACGGGCCCTCCTGGCCGCCCTGCCGTCCGAGGAAGAGTTCCCCTACACCGTGCGCGTGGTCAGCGAAGTGCTGGCCTCCAACGGCTCAACTTCGATGGGCAGCGTTTGCGGCTCGTCCATGGCCCTCATGGACGCCGGCGTTCCCATGCGAGCTCCCGTGGCCGGCATCGCCATGGGCCTGATAACGGACGCCGACAGTGACCGTTATGCCGTCCTCAGCGACATCCAGGGCATCGAGGACTTCCTGGGCGACATGGACTTCAAGGTCGCCGGCACCGAGAAGGGCATCAACGCCCTGCAGATGGACGTCAAGATCGACGGACTGACCCAGGAGCTCCTGAGCGAGGCCCTGGAGCAGGCCCGGGCCGGTCGCCTGCACATCCTGGACCGCATGTCCGAGGCCATCTCGGAACCCCGCGCCCAGATGAGCCGGTACGCTCCCAAGCTGGTCAGGATGAAGATCCCCGTCGAGAAGATCGGCGCCCTCATCGGTCCCGGCGGACGCGTTATCCGCGCCATCCAGGAGGAGACCGGCTGCGGCATCGACGTGTCCGATGACGGCGGCGTCATCATCTCTTCCAACGACCAGACCATGATCGAACTGGCGAGCAGCCGGGTGGACGGCCTGACCCGCGACCCCGAGGTGGGCGACATCATCACGGGCAAGATCACCCGTACCACCAACTTCGGCGTCTTCGTCGAGCTCACCCCTGGCGGCAAGGACGGTCTGGTACGCAACGAGGACCTCGGCGACCTCGCCCACGAGAACGTGGACATCGGGCAGGAAATCACCGTGATGATCCACGAGATCGACCACATGGGCCGCATCAACCTGTCGCGGCGCGCCCTCATGGGCGACACCGAGCCACCGACTCCTCGTCCCGAACGCGGGGGGGTCGACGATCGTGGTGACCGCGGACCGCGCGGCGGCTTCGGCGGCGGCGACCGTGGCGGACGCGGCGGTGGCGGCGGTGGCGGACGTGGCGGCTTCGGCGGCGGTGGCGGCGGCGGTGACCGTGGCGGACGTGGCGGCTTCGGTGGTGGTGGCGCAGGCGGCGGTGACCGTGGCGGACGCGGCGGCTTCGGCGGCGGTGGCGCAGGCGGCGGACGGGACCGTGACCGGTCCGGGCCTGGACGCGGCGGCTTCGGTGGCGGTAGCGGCGGTAGCGGTGGTAGCGGTGGGTGGTGGTGGTGATCGCGACCGCGGCGGACGGGGCGGAGGTGGTGGTGGCGGCTACGGCGGTGGCAGCGGCGGCGGCGGCGGCGGCGGTAACAGTGGCGGCGGTAACAGCGGTGGCGGCGGCGGTGGCAACGGACCCAACCGCAGCGGACGAGACCGCGGCACCATGTTGGGCAGCGAGTCAAACGACCGCGACCGGGGAGGGCGCCGTCCAACCGGCCGCCCGCCGAGCGGGAGCCGCAACCCATCCGACCGCCGGTTCCTGGGCGGCGGCGGCGCACGCCGTTAGTCCGGAGACAGACCGGCAATCCGACAAACGGGGGCAGGTTTCGTACCTGCCCCTAGTCTTGTGGCACGCCAGCCGGCAGATTGGAAATATCCCGCCGGCGGGAGTTCCGCGACCCTCGGAGTGGCTATGTTATCCTGTATTTGGTGCTGCATGATTCCGGCACAATATGCCCTGCTGTTACGATGGATTGGAAGGTGATGCTATGCCCGTAATAACCATCAACGGCCCTATCGGGGCTGGCTCCATCGCCGTCGGGCAACAGGTTGCCCATGACCTGCATCTCAACTACGTGGACCGCATGGTCTTCGCTGAGGCCGCGCGCATTATCGGCTCCCCGGTCTCCAACCTGATTGCCAAGGAACAACGGGTCGAGCGGTTCGGCGACCGGGTGACGGCTCTACTGGGCCGGGTCCTGGAACGCGCTGCCGTGTCGGGAGACTATGACCTCGGGGTGGGCATCGAGACCCTGCCCGAAACTTACTACGAGCTGTCCGGCGAACCCTCGTCGCGGATGCAACGCGTCAACGACCAGGTCTTCATCGACACCACCCGCGAAGTCGTGCGCAACCTGTCCCAGGCGGGTCACGTCGTAATCATCGGCCGTGGCGCCAACATCATCCTTGGCGACACCCCCGGCGTTCTCCACGTGGGCATGCTGGCCCCCATGTCGCGACGCGTGGAAACCATCATGGAGCGCGAGCACCTCAGTGAAGCCGAGGCCAGTTCCTACCTTGAGGGGTTGGAAGAAGCGCGCGTAAAGTTTTTCCAGAAGTTCTTCAAGGTATCGCCCCACGACCCAACGCTGTATCACATGATGCTGGACATGGGTCACATGAGCGACGCCACCGCCGCCAAGATCATTGGTCATGCGGCTGGCGACCTGGAGCACTGAACAACGTTTACAACGCCGGCCGCTGACGGCCGGCCGAACACCAAGGAGGATACACGGATATGTTCATCAGGATGGTTTGGGGCAAACTCCGCGCGGGTTCCTGGGAGGAATTCGAGCGGCACTACCACGAGCGCGTTGCAACCGGCGGGGCCCCCAAGGGATTGCAAGAACGGCAGCTGATCCGGAGCACCGAGGACCCCGACGAAGGTATCAGCGTCAGCGTTTGGGACACCCTGGGCGACCTGCGCACCTATGAGACCAGCGAGTTCCGCGCCAACATCGCCCGCGAGGTCGAACACCTCTACCGTGGCGAGTACTGGGTGAAGCACTTCGAAGTCGCGTCTACCGACTGACCACGTCCTCGGCCCCAACGCATTGCAAGAAGGCCCCGCTCCGGCCGGAGCGGGGCCTTCTTTTGTGTCTGCCGCCCGGGGAATATCCCTAACGGCTGGCGCTGGCTCCGGCCACGCGGCCGATACCGGAGCGTGAGCAGTCCTCGTCTTCCTGAGCGGTGCCGCCGCTGCCGCCCACGGCGCCGATGAGTTCGCCGTTCATATAGATGGGCAGCGCGCCCTGTCCGGGCACAAACTCGCCGCGTTCCACTTCCATCACCGCCCGCATGATGGGCGTGGTGGACCGCTCGGTCAGGTCGCCGCTGGGCTCGCCGAAGCAGGCCGAGGCCCGCGCCTTGCCCCTGGACACGTATGGGGTCCGCCAGGCGGAGCCGTCCATCTTGCACATCGTGATGAGGTCGCCGCGAGCGTCCACCACCGAGAAGCTGAAAGGCTTACCCAATTCCAGGGCGGCAGCTTTCGCGCCAGCCAATACCGCTTCGGCCTGTTCGAGGGTGATGTTAGGCATGGTTACAAATCTCCTGGTGCAGTAGTTTCAGGTTCAATCGATTTCCGCTCCGGTTGAGTGAATTCAACGGGCTGCGCTATTATAGCAGCGCAGCCGGCCAAACCACCGCGCCAAGTGGGCACCCCGCCGGTTCACGGGACACGCTCCACCATGTTCGGTTTCCTAGACTCGTTCAAGAAGGGCTGCGGATGCGCCCTTGGCGTGGTTGCCGGCCTCGTCATCGCCCTCGTGATTGTCGGCCTGGTGTTTGGCAACTGTGAGGTAAACGGTTTCTAGCCATTTCCCCAATTAAGCCCATCTCAGGAGTAGGGTATGCAGTTCGGATTTTACCTGCCCAATCACGGCCCCAACGCCCAACCGGGACCACTGGCCCAAATCGCACAAGCCGGCGACCGTCTCGGCTTTTATTGCATGGTGGCCGGAGACCACGTGCTCGTTCCCAATCAAATCGACTCCACGTACCCCTACACCGTTGGCGGTGAGTTCCCCACCGGCGAAAGCGGGGAGTATTTCGAGCAGCTAACCCTGCTCACCTACCTGGCCGGCGTCACGGAACACATCCGCCTGGTGCCCAGCGTGATGATCGTTCCCTACCGCCCGCCCATTCTGGCCGCCAAGATACTGGCCACTCTGGACGTGCTGTCCCAAGGTCGGCTGATCCTGGGCGTCGGCGTGGGCTGGATGGAAGAGGAGTTCGAGGCGCTGGACACGCCACCCTTCGCTGAGCGGGGCGCGGTAACCGACGAGTACCTCCACGCCTACAAGGAGCTGTGGACCAGCCCGAATCCCGAGTTCGACGGGAAGTACGTCCAGTTCTCGGGCATCCAGTTCCTGCCCAAGCCGGTGCAAAAGCCCCACCCGCCGATCTGGGTGGGCGGGCAGAGCCGTCCCGCCATCCGCCGCGCCGCCACCATCGGCGACGGCTGGCACCCGGTGGGCACCATACCGGCGGCGACCCTGGACCCGGAGGAACTGGCGGGAGACCTGGTAACCCTGAACCGGTTTGCCGAGCAAGCAGGGAGGGATCCGGCTGAAATACAGGTGTCGATGAAGGCGCCGTTGTACGACCCGGCCACCATGCAATCCGGCCCTCGTCGCCGTTTCTCCGGTTCCGCCGACGCCATTCTGGAAGACGTTAACACGTATGCCGAAGTGGGCGTGTCCCACATCATTTTTGACATCCGCGGCAGCGACCTCAATCAGGCGCTGGAGCGGTTGGACTGGTTCGCCGGCGACGTGATGCGGCAAGTCAACTGATCCGGTCACGCGACGGGGGCAAAGTGCCCCTATGCTATAATCTCACTGCTCGGTGGTCTGCGTCTGCGCCGCGGTTCCATCGTTGCATCCACTTCAAGTCAGCTGCTTTTCGCGAGGAGGAATACTGCCTTGACTTCCCTCAATGACCGTTACGAAGCCGGCCAGGACATGCGCGGACAGATGTCCGGCGGCGACAGCACCCACTATGCCCTGCCCGGCGTGGATCAGTTGGCGCCCGACCTCAAGCGCATCATCGACGAGGCCCTTTTCGGCACCATCTGGCGTCGCCCGGGACTGAACCTCCAGCAGCGCTGCATCGCCACCATTTCCGCCCTGATGACCCAGGGAGAATTGAACCTGCTGCGCCGTCACATCGTGCGCGCGCTCAACGTCGGCCTCACTCCCAACCAGGTGGTCGAAATTTTCATCCAGTCGACGTTCTACATCGGCGTCCCCGCCGTTGAGTCCGCGCTGCGGCTGACCAAGGACATCTACGAAGAACTGGGCATCGAGTATGCACCGGCGGTGGAGTACGACACCAACCGGCACCCAGACGAGCTGCTGGCGCTGGGGCAGGAGATACACCGGCGCCACATGGGTGATTCCCTGACCACCTACGAGGACGAAACCCCCGAGGGCCAACTGGAACGCATTGTCGACGAATACAACTGGGGCGGGATCTACAGCCGCTCCATGCTGGACGACAAAGAGCGGGCCATCATTTCACTGGCCGCACTCACCAGCATGGGCGTGTACGACGCCCAGATGCGCCGCCGCATTCGCGGGGCCCTCGGCGTCGGCCTGACCTCGACAGAGGTGATGGAAATCTTCATACACCTGTCCATGTACGGTGGGTATATGAACACCCGCACCGCCATGCGCATTGCCCGCTCCGTATTCAACGAGCTTGAGATCGAGTAGCCTTTGCGCAAGGGGCGGAACGACAATCATCATCGCTAGCGCGAGGTAGTCGCCTCGCGCTAGTCGGTTGGAACCTAACCAGTACCAGACAGCACGGAGGTCGGCGGGAACACGATGAAACTGCGCTTGGACGACGGCTGTGAGCTGTTCTACACCATCGACGACTTTACGGACCCGTGGACCGAGCCGGAGACCGTGGTGATGCACCACGGCATGGCCAAGAACCACAAGCTCTGGTTCGGCTGGGTGCCCATCGTGGCGCGGCACTACCGTGTCATCCGGTTCGACATGCGCGGCATGGGGCAATCCGATGTTCCCGAACCCGGCTACCCGTGGTCGGTGGACAACTTCGCCAGGGACCTCGCGGAATTCACCGAGAAACTGGGGCTCGAAAAGTTCCACCTCATCGGCGAAACCGTGGGCGGCAGCATCTCCATGCGCTACGCCACCATGCACCAGGAACGGCTGCTGTCCCTGACCGCCTGCACTTCGCCCACCAGCTTCAACGACGCCCACCACGCGCAGTCGGCCGTCCAGATTGAAAACGACGGCATCGGCGCCTGGGTCGAGGGCAGCATCGGTCGGCGCCTGGATCCGCAGATTGTCGATCCGGCCTACACCCGCTGGTACGCCGAGCAAATGAAGGCGACCACGCCCCACGTTGTCGCGGGTTTTCAGGCCCAGGCATCGGGCGACCTGCGGCCGCTGCTGAAGGATGTGCAGACGCCGGTGCTGATCATTGCCGCCGCCGCCTTGCGAGAGGAAGTCCTGGGTGATTTCCGAGGCGCAGCCGACGTTTTCCCCAACGGGCGAGCCGTGGTATTCCCCGGCGTTTCCGGTTTCGTACAGCACATCCTGCCCGTGCCCTGCGCCCGGGTCTGGCTGGACTTCGCCCGCAACCTCGCATAGCGCCGCCGAGCTATGGCAGACCGCGCCAGGTCGGAACCTGGCGACATCGCGGGTGGTGAGGAGTCAAGGCGAAGAAGGAGAGCCGGCGCTCATGGGCGGCGGCGCGGACGTGAGCGGCGCTCGCGTCAACCGACCGGGTTCCTGAATCGCCTGATGTCACGCGGCGAGTTGCAGTTGATGCCCCGGCGGATGAGTCGGCGCTTGCATCTGCCCCTGTTCATCGAGCTGTACAACGTACAGTTTTTCCAGCTCAAAACGCGCTACCTGTGGCAGTCGGCCCTGGCGGCGGTGGTGATGCTCGTCGTCATGCTGATGGTGGACTCCGTGGCGGACGCGGTACTGGCCGCCGGTCTGGGCTCCAGCGCGGTGATCGTCTTCGTGCATCCCAACTCCAGCAGCGCAGCGCTGCGGCACCTGGTGGGCGGGCACGTCCTTGGCCTGACCGTCGGCGCACTGACGTCCTTCGCGTTATTCCATGCCGGCTGGGTTCCCGTACCCGACAGCGCGCACCACTGGGCCGCCGATGTGGCGGCGGCGATCACGCTGGGAGTCGTGATACTGCTGATGTCGATAACGGACACCGAACACCCGCCGGCAGCGGCGACCGGCCTGGGGTTCGCCCTGCAGAGCCTGGAACTGACGCTGGTGCTCCTGTTCATCGCCGCCGTCCTGACCCTGGCCGCGAGCAAGGTCATCTTCCGCGCCTACATCCGCGACTTGGACTGACGCTTGCCTGCCTTTTCGGACGGTAAACTGTAACCCGCACGGCGTTACATCAATTGCCTGGCCCTCCTGTCAAATCCTGATAGACTGAAGCGTAGACTCGCGCTCCCGGGCGAGGTTGACGGAGGCCCCGATGGACGTGAAAGAGGCGGCGCACAAAGCCAAAAATTATCTGACTGACCTTTACAGTGACGAGGCAATCACAAACGTCGGCCTTGAAGAAGTCGAGTTCGATGACCTATCGCGCGACTGGAGCATCACTGTTGGTTTTTCTCGTCCTTGGAATCATCGAGGCCCACTGGTTTCTGCATTGATAGAAGGACGGTCGGATCGTTCGTATAAAGCCGTTCGTATTCATGACGCCGACGGTCGCGTCGTATCGCTCAAAGACCGCCTGCTGACCGCGAATCACGACTAGTATTCAATCAACGTTGGAGTGGCAGGGATAAAATCGCTGCAGTTTGTGTCTGGCATCCTGAGTGGTGAACCACCAGTCGATGGTGGCTTTCCTAGCGTTACGCTCAGTCTCATAGACGCCGCTGGCCCGTTGCAGGGCAAGTTCGTCGGGATTGCGCCCTTGAAGGCAAGTGCGGGTCAATACGCTGAATTCAATCTCTGCCATGTTCAGCCAACTGGCTTGCTTGGGCATGTGGTGAAACTCGAGGCGTTTCGCGATGCGCGAGCCTCAGCAGCCGGAAAGGTCTCGTACAGGAACGCCATGCGGTGGGTGTTCAGATTGTCGAGCACCACCCGTACCACCGGAGCGTGGGGATAGGCTACATCCACCAGCCACCGCATCTGGTGGGCGAAGTCCTGCATGGTACGGCGTTCGGTGATGGCTATGTGGCGCCAACCGGCCAGGGGTTCGCAGGTCAAGAAGATGTTGCGAGTGCCGCCCCGACGGTACTCGTAGTCCTGACGCCGGGGTCGTCCCGGTTGGACGGGCAGCGGTGGTCGGGTATCGGCCAGCAGTTGGGTGGAGGTCTCGTCGAAGCACACCACCGGCCGGTTTGGGTCGTAAGGTTCGGCGTAGAGGTCCAGCACGTCCTCCATTGCCGCCACGAACTCTCCGTTCACCTTGGGGATGCACCACTGCTGTTTCCGCCACGGCTGGAGGATGTTTTTTTGAGCCGCAGACGCACCGTCTCATACGACAGGCTTTCCACCAACCCCAACTCCACCGCCTGGTTGGCCAGCAGCCGCAGGGTCCAGTGGTCATGTCCTTCGGGCGCATCACTGCACGCCAGCGCGATCAGATGGGCTTCGCCCCGATCATCCAACTTCCGGTACCGATTGGCTTGGGGATGGTCGTGCAGCACGCCATCCAATCCTTCCTCGGCGTACCGCCGTTTGGTGCCGGGGCCCCCCCAAAAAACACCGTCTGGCTCGGACTCCACCTTCTCAAAGTCCTTTTTGTTTTTTTTTTTTTGGGACAACAGCCCCCCAAAACCAAAAAAAAAAAAAAAAAAAAAAGGGGGGGGGGGGGGGGGGGGGGGGGGGGGAAAAAAAAAAAATTTTTTTTTTTTTTTTTTTTTTTTTTTTTTTTTGTTTTTTTTAGGGGGGGGGGGGGGGGGGGGGGGGGGGGGGGGGGGGGGGGGGGGGGGGGGGGGGGGGGGGGGGGGGGGGGCGGCCCCGAGTGGGGGGGGGGAGGGGGAGGTACCCGAGCCGGGAAAAATTTCATTTTGCTGGGGGGGAGGCCCCCCCCAGACAAACCAGGGGGGGGGGGGGGGCGGGGGGGCTTCGGGAAAAATTGCAACCACTGTGGGAGCACCCAAACACCCACTACTGAGGGGCTCGAATTACGCGATCCTATTGCAGTCAAACTGGAAACCCAAACCCCCCCCACCACACGGGGGGGGGGGGGGGGGGGGGGGGGGGGGGGGAAAAACGCGGGGGGGGGGTGGGGGGTGGGGGGGGCGACCAGAAACCAAATGGAATGATGGGGGGGGGGGGGGGGGGGACGGCACCAGCCCCCACCCTCCCCACAACCACCCACACCCACACACCCCCCCAACACCCACGCACTTGCTGATGCATGCTCAGCGTAGCCACGTCCGCTCACCTCGCGCTCGCTATCTGTCGATACAGGTATGACTGATATACTCTAAACGAAGCAAGTGAACCCGCACTTGTGTAGATAGAATTGGAAGGATTGAGAGGATCGGTGGGAAGGGGGGGGGGGGGGGGGGGGTGGTGCCGGGGGTTGCTGCGTGGGTAATGCTGGAGGGGGGGGGGGGGGGGTGAGACAAATAAAATAACAACATGGGGGGAACATTGGGTCGGCGGGGCGGGTGCGGGGGTGGGGGGTCGAGAGAGCAGCTGGGGGCTGGGGGGGGGCCGGGGGGGCGGGGGGGGGGGGAGGGAATACACCTAACTAACACTCAAGATTATGGGGGGGGGGGGGGGAGGGGGGGGGGGGGGGGGGGGGGGAAGGGAGGGATCCCCATGGGGGGGGTGGGTTGGGGCGGGGCGGGGTGGGGGGGCGGGGGGGGGGGGGGGGGGGGGGGAGGGGGTCAAGTGGGGGTGGGGTGGGGGGGGAGGGGGGCGGGGGCGGGGGGTGGGGGGGGGGGGGGGGGGAGGGGGGGGGGCGTGGGGGACCAGGGGGGGGGGGGCGGGGGGGAAGAAGAAGGAAAGGGGATATTTGGTTTTGGAAGAAAGAGATGAGACTTCACAAAACACCAGCGGGGGGGGGGTTGGCGGGGGGGGGGGGGCAACCCGGTGGGGAAAAAAACCCAACAAAAACAAGGGAATCGCTCGGGAGCGGGGAAGGGGGGGGGGGGGTGGGGGGGGGGGGGGGGGGGGGGGGGGGACAAAACCCAAAACCGGGGTTGGGGGGGGGGGACAAAAAAGCCTAGGGGGGGTTTTGGGGTTGGTTCTGGGGGGGGGGGTGGGGGGGGGGGCTGGCGCGGGAGGTGGACGCCCCACCCCAAGAGGCCCACACCCACATACCCACCCCCACACCAACGGGGGCGGCCGCGGCGTTGGAAACGGGGGGGGGGGGGTGACGCCCCCCCCCCCACACAAAATATGGCCAATGGCCCACGGCATGCCGGGAGGGTTGTACCTGAGGCGCTGGGCGTTTGAGGGGGTGGGGGGCAAGGTCCCCCCTGTTTCTTCCCAGAGGGGGGGGTTCCCCCCCAGCATTGAACAAAAACGGCGAGAACGGGGGGGGGGACTGAAGGGGGGCGGGGGGGGGCCCCACAGGCCGATAAAAACAAAGAGCCCCCCCCGAGTTTTTTTTTGTTTTGGGGGTTTGGGGGCAAACCCACCGGGAAAAAGGGGGGGGTAGTGGCGCGGGGGGGGGGGGGCCGAGTTGAAGGCGGCGGGTGCAGGAATGCCGTCGCAAGGCTGGCATCGATTTGTCCAACTGGAACTGGAAGGCGGTGGCGCCGGTTGGTAGAGGAACGCTTCGGGTTGACGCTGAGCCGGAGTGGTTGCCTGAATTACCTGCACCGGTTGGGCTTTGTCCTGAAGCGTCCCAAGAAGCGGTTGGTCAAGGCAGACCCGGTACGGCGGGAAGGCTTTGTGAGGGAGTACATTGCCTTGACAGCGGCGGCCCGACGAACTGGGGCCAAGATATTCTTCGCTGACGAGGCTCACTTTCGGGCGGATGCGGATCTGCGGGCCAAATGGGTGCTGAAGGGTGAACCGGCGCTGGTGGACTCCACCAGCCCGCGACGTGGGGAGAAGGCGAGCTACTACTCGGCGGTGTGTCTGGAAACCGGAGAGGTGGAGTTGATGGAACTGGAAGGTAACAGCAACTCCACCACCTCGGTTGCCTTCCTGTCGGTTGCCTTCCTGCGTCAACTGCGGGCGCAACACACCGAACCGTTGACGGTGATTTGGGACAATTCCCCAGCTCATAGGGGCGACGCGCTGCGAGCCTACCTGGCCAACCCCAACTTGAACCTGCGCTTGGTGAACCTGCCCACCTATAGCCCAGATTTCAACGCCGACGAGGCTATTTGGGGCTGGGTACGTCAAGAGGTGACCGCCAACCTGTGCCTGGGGACCCGTGCCGCAGTCCAGGAGAAGGTGGGCGACTTTTTCGCCAGCCTGTCCAGCCGATGCGACGAAGTCAAGCGCCGATGCCAGACCGTGCTTCAGGCTCGAGCAGCAGAACTGACTGCCAGCACTCAAGCCGACCCTTCCCATCCCGCGAATGTAGATTTCACCTTGGCTTCAGTTTAGTACCCTCAGCAGGGTAGTCCATGTGCACGAATCGTAACCTATGCAGCTCGTGTACAGTGCTTGCTAGGATATCGCGGGTTCATGAATTGCGGTTCCGGCATATCTGGTACCAATAGCGACGACCCACCGGTAAATGGTGAAACTAGCAGTGAGTTTCTACCTCTCCCTCTCTGCTGTCAGCGTAAAGCATGTCAGCCCCGCCCCGTGGTCCCAGATGGATTCCGAGAACGGGCGTCGCTCGGCTCCCGCTTGGGACTTTCGGCGGCGAACACCGCGCACAGCTCGTAGTCGGTATCTTCGAGGATCCGGTACTCGCAGGGTGCACCGGTATCCGGGTCTTCGATGGATTGGACGACGTATTGCGAGGCCAGCAGGTCGGACGGGATGGCGGGCATCCCGTCCGAATACTTCAACCGACGCTGGGACCAGCGGAGGTACGACTACTACTTTTCCGCGGCGGGGTATGCCAGCGCCGTTGCGGGTCGAAAGATTGTTGAAAACCGTCGCCCTCAGGGCTGGGTATGGTCATAGCGTGCGGCCGTTATTTCGCTCCCAGGTCTGATGTCACCTGACCGATCACGTTGTCCATCGTGGACACGATCTGCTCGATCTCGCCGGGCGTGACGCACAGGGGCGGCATTATGTTCATGAGGTCTCCGCCGCGCAGGAAGAGGCCATTGTCGGCAAAGCCCTGGGTCAACCTCGGACCCAGACCGGCGTCGGCAGGGAAGTATTCCTTGGTCTCCCGGTCCTTCACCAACTCCAGCCCGCACATGAGACCCAGGCCACGGACGTTGCCGATGATGGAGTGTTTTTCCTTCAGCTCTTCGAGACCGTCCAGCAGATATTTCCCCATCCGGGCCGAATTCTCCACCATCCCTTCCCGCTCCATGATTTCCAAATTCTTCAGGGAAGCCGCAGCGGCTACCGGATGCCCGCCGAAGGTGATGACGTGTCGGAAGGCCGCCTTGGGGCCGCCCACAAAGGCGTCGGCGATGGGCTTGCGAAGTATGGTTCCCCCCATGGGGATGTATCCGCTGGTAATGCCCTTTGCCACCGTCATCATGTCAGGAACGACGTCCCACTGGTTGCAGCCGAACCATTTGCCGGTGCGGCCAAAACCGGTGATGACCTCATCGGCGATCAACAGGCAGCCGTACTTGTCGCAAACTTCCCGAAGCAGGGGCCAATAGTTGTCCGGCGGCACCACTGCTCCCATGGGGCTGGAGATGGGTTCGGCGATAACCGCCGCCACGGTGTCCGGTCCCTGGAACCGGATGATGCTCTCGATTGCGTCCACACAACGTTGACCACATTCTTCCGGCGTTTCGCTGTTGAACTCGCAGCGATAGAAGTTGGGCTGTGGAGCGTGGAATGTATTCGGCATCAAGGGTTCGTAGTCGTCCCTGGGGTAAAGAAAGTTGCCCCCCAGGGCCATCGCGCCCATGGTGGCGCCGTGGTACGAGTCCTTGCGGCTGATGAATTTGGTGCGCTGAGGTTCGCCGATCCGCTTGAAATACGCGCGGGACAACTTCAACGCGGTTTCCACCGACTCGGAACCCCCGCTGGTGAAGAAGCAGCGGGAAAGATCACCGGGCATCATGGACGCGATTTTGTCGGACAGCCTAACCGTAGGTTCGGTGGTGGTGCCCATGGGCATATAGGTGATCTTGAGCATCTGCTCGTAGGCCGCGTCCGCAATTTCCTTCTGGCCATATCCGACGTTCTTCAACCAGAGGCCCGACATGGCGTCGATGTAGGTGTTGCCCAAGGCGTCAGTGACCTGACAACCCTTGCCTTCCACGAAGATCTGGGGTTCACCTTTCTCGGCCATGTCGCTGGGTTCCCGCAGGTACACCCAGAGGTTTTCCAGGGCGGTCGTTTGCAGGTCGTGTACCGCAGATTCGGTATGGGTAGCCATGGTTTCCTCCGGATGCCGTTACAAGTGCAAGATTAGGGATATTTGTTGCCGGCCAGTTTAACACGACAACGCCGACGCAGAGGGCGGGTTGGAAAAGTCAGCGCCCGGAATTTCACGGCGAAGCCGGAATTTCACGGTAAAGCCCAGGGGCCGCCGGAGCCGGAAGTCGAGATTGGTAGTATGATGCTCGGAACGATACACCGTCAGAAGGCCACCGTCAGAAGGCCAACCTATCGAGAGGCAGAACCCCTATGCCCAGATACACAACCAACGTCGGCAGCGTTCAATTGCTAGCGCTGAACGATGGAATGCCCACTCGGTCTCCCCTCATGCCTTTTCCGGATACCACCATCGAACAATGGCGGGAGTTTCCTGAGCTTTTGGATGACCACGACCAGATTACCAGCAGGTATGGAACCACGGGCGTCCGTTCGCAGGGAAAGCTGATCATCGTCGATACCGGCCTGCAGGCTCCCGACGGTACGCTGATGTCCGACATGCGAGCCAAGGGCGTCGACCCGGAGGCTGTCGACCTGGTGGTGTTCACTCACCTCCACCCCGACCACGTGGGCTGGAACCTCACTGACGGCAAGCCCAATTTCCCCAACGCCCGTTACCTGGCGCCGCGGAAGGACTGGGACTACTGGACGCAGCCCGACGTGCTGGCCGGCGCCGCCCATGTCCGCGACCAGGTGGTACCCCTGCAGGGTCTGGGATTCATCGACCTGATCGACGACGACTACCGGATCACGGACGAGCTCACCACGGTCTCCACGCCGGGGCATACCCCGGGCCACGTCTCAATCATGATCGCCTCGGGCGGAGAACGGGGTTACATCCTGGGCGACGTGGCGCACAATCCGGCCCAGGCGCATTACACCGACTGGTGCCCCATATTCGACATCCAGCCGGACCTGTCCCGGAGCACCAGGCATTCCGTGATGGACATGCTGGAAAACGAGCAGATTTTGGTCTCCGCCGGACACTATCCCGATCCCGGCTTCGGCCATTTCGTCCGGGTCAACGGACGGCGCTCCTGGCGGGGCATCTAGCCGGTTCGGCATCCCAATTGCGTGCGAAACGAATTGCGATTACATACGTGAGTACACCGCTTGGAACGTCACGTTACGCCAACAGTTTAGCGCTCTTTGGTGGGCGTATTCTGCGCGTTCTGGATGACTTGCTGCACTAACGCCGGATTACTGGACACCCGTTCAACGGCTTTTGCGTCCTTGTTATCCTTCCGCTCGTCCACGAATTTGATGATTGCTCCTATGGTGTAAAACATGGCCTGTCCTCCTATATCGAGGGTTACAGCTATGATACCGTAGATGAGTGCGCTCATACTAGCGTATTCAGCCAACTTGTCGAACTCGGCGTGGCCCACTTGCCAGACCGTTATCCGCCAAGTCACGAGCGCGATTCCAGACAGTGACACTAAAAAATGCCATCGTAGCAATCTCTCTGACGCAAACCATCTCCGCCATCTCTCCATGCCATGATTATACCGAAAAGCCCCGAGCCATTGCTGACCAGGGCTTGATTGTCGGCGTCTTACGGCCGGCAGGTTGCAGGATGGGTGGTGTACACAGGTATGTAATTGCCAAACGAATTGCGCGTGAAACGAAAGGAAATGCAGCTATGGTAGAAGCGGATGCGCGAATACTCTGGACTGGGACGCCCTGGAGGTCGGCGAGACCTTCGAGACGTACCAATACCTCCTCACCCAGGAAATGATGGACACCTACCGCCAAGGGGTGATGGACTCCGAGGCCAGCTTCCCAACGATCTCCCACAAGGTGGATGTCAAGCAGTACAACGCCAGGTACCGGGACGCCGGTTCCGTCAACGCCCGGTGCGCGTTCCATTGCTACAACCCTCCCAGTGGCCGGCAAGACGATCACGGTGCGGGCGTGGATCGCCGACAAGTATCTGCGCCGGGGCAAGAACTACATCGTCACCGAGGCGGTTTCGGTTGACGAAGATGGGCGGCTCATCGACCGTGTGATTACCCACGAGCTCAAGCAGCCCACGGAGGTAGGCAAGAAATGGGGAGGCTAGTCCGCACCTACGAGGTGGGGGATGAGCTATCCCCCCTGGTAAAGGAAATGACCCAGGAGGCGATCAACCTGTTTGAAGGCAGCGCCGGCCAACTGGAACCTTCCCAGTTTACCGACGAAGAGACCGCTCGCGAGACCCTGGGAACCGAGGGCACGGTGGCTTCGGGGCGGATGTCGTTGTCATTCGCCATCGAACTACTGCGCCGGCACTTCGGCAGCAGCGTGTTCAACCACGCCGGCACGGTTGATCTGAGATTCCTGCGGCCGGTCCGCCCCGGCGACACGGTCACCTTCACGGGGACGGTTACCGGGGTGAGTCGGGAAGTGAACGGCAGTCGGGTATCGGTGGAGATCAAGGCCGAGAACCAGCGTGGAGATACCACCGGGGTGGGTCAGGGCAGCGCGGTCGTCCCCAACGCCTTTCTCCCCCAGGACGAGTAACTCCCAGCTCACAAATCCGACCATCGGCCGGAATCCATCAGAACTGCCGGGCACCCGGTGGAATGGACAGGGCGGCGGCGTCCCCTGCAACGCGGCCAATGCGAAGTCGGCAAGTCCATGCACCATGGACGCGAGGCTGACAATCCGCCGGCAGCCAGGAGATGTTAGGGACACCATTCTGCGCCACGGCAACGAGATTGGCGCGGTGGGCTCTCAGATTGCCACGCTGCGCTTGCAATGACCGATTGTGCAATGTGGGTACGCGTGAGGCGCCTTGACAGCCACCTGCAAACCAGGCACGGCCAATTCACCTCACCAACTCCGAACAGTTGCCTCGGGTACGTCAAGTTGCCACCCGACTCTGGCGTGGTTACAATGCCCCAATTGCGGATGCCCGGTTGTGCGCCCCGCCTTCCCGACGACTTCCGGCCCGGCGCACAACGACCCATCCTGATTCCTGATAATGGAGAGTGATTCGGTTTGAGTATCTACTCGTCGGGCGGCCGGATGAACTACTTGCGGGAGCAGTACCACTACGCCTGGGTCGTGGTCGGGATGGGCACCATGCTCCGGCTCACCGCCAATTTCGTCAGCCAGGCCTTCGCCGTCATCCTCGTCGTCCTGCAGACCGACTTCGCCTGGGGCGTCACCGCCATCGTCCTTGCCCAGGTCTTTCGCAGCCTCGCCAGCGCCCTCCTTGCTCCGGTCTCCGGATGGGTCGGCGACCGCTACGGAGCGCGCAAGTCCCTGTTTGTTGCTGCCGCGCTCTACGTGGTCGGGATGCTGCTTCTCAGCACCGTGGAGCAGATCTGGCAGCTTTACATCTACTACAGCCTTTTGTTGGGATTGGCCCAAGCCCTCTTCACCGTCAACATCCCCACTACGGTCGCCGCCTGGTTCCAGAAAAAGCTTGGCGTCGCCGTCGGCATCCAGCAGTCCATCGGAGGCATGGGAGCATCGGTCACCGCACCGGGCCTGGCGCTGCTGGTAGCCCTGACCGGATGGCAGGTCGGGTTCTGGATCATCGCCGCCGTGGGTGGAGTAATCCTGTTCTCCCTGTTGTTCTTCTTCCACAGCGAACCCGCCGACCGCGGGATGAAGCCCCTGGGGGCCACCGACGACGACCCGGTGCCAGTACCCGTCAACGCCGCAACCGCCAAGTTGCGCAGCAAGGTCTTCCTGCAGCATGCCCGCCGGACCCGGGCTTTCTGGAACCTCCCCTTCATCCACTTCCTCGGCTGCTTGGGCCACGCTGTCGTCATCTGGCACGTCGTGTTCTTCGCTACCGAGCAGGGATTGTCCCTCACGACCGCAGCCTGGATCGTCACCATCTACACCATGGCCAGCGTCAGCAGCCGCCTGTTCATTCCCATCCTTGCGGACCTCTGGGGCGCCAAGGTAACGATGATCCTGCCCTACTTCCTGCAGGGCGTCACCGTCATAATGCTTTTCTGGGCCCAGAGCGCATGGGAGTTCTACCTCTTCGCGGTCCTCTTCGGCATCGGATTCGGCGGGGAAATGTCCGCCTTCCTCATCGCCAACCGCCAGTACTATGGCATGGGTCCGGTTCGGTCCATTTTTGGATTCCAGCACCTCGGCTCCGGCTTGGGCATGGCCCTCGGAGGACTGGTTGGCGGGTTGGTCTACGACTTCCGCAGTGGCGAAGCTCCGGTGCGGTACCTTGGCTTCATCGACATCGGGGGAGGCTCCTACGACCTCGCGTGGACCATTTCGATTGCCGCAAGTCTCGTCGGTGTCGTCTTCATCCTGTTGCTGGAATCATCCTCCCGCATCCTCATCCCCAACTGGGAAGATTCCCTGCCCCGGGAGGGACAAACCTCGCCCGCGGCTTCGTGACGCGGCTTCGTGATCGGTGGTTTGGGCGACAGAAGCCGGCCCAAGTTGCCGGGGTTTATTCGGGGACAGCAGTGCGGTAGCTCGGGGTATGGTCAACCTCCCGGGATGGGAGATTGCCGGTCGGATTAATCCGAAACGCCCGCCGGTTCCCTCGCAGTCTCCGGGGTTGGAGCCGGTGGCGGTTTGGCCGCCAGCGCCATGATTCCCGCCAGGAACACTGCGACGGCGAAAAACGTAAACGGGATCCGGTAGCTGTCGAAATAGTCGAACATGAACCCGGCGATTACCGGCCCCAGGGCCTGTCCGCCCACCTGCACCGACATCGTCAGCCCCCGGATTGTCCCCAGGTTCTGCCGCCCGTAGTAGTCCGCCCACACCAGCCGTGTCAGCAGGTGCAGGCCGCCCACGCCGAACCCGACCCCCGCTGCCGAGATTATCTCCGGCAGCAGCCAGTCGCTCATCACCGTCCCCGTCGCGGCCAGCGCCACCACGAACGCCGCTCCCATCATCAGGAATCGGATGGGCATCCGCCGCGCCAGGGCCGCCCAGAAGAGGCTCGCGGGCATTTGGGCCAGGGCGAACGTGCTCGCGCTCATCGCGGCGAAACGCGGGTCAACTCCCTGGCTGATGTAGTGGGAGACCTGGTGCAGGCTCACCCCCGCCTGGACCATCATACCGGCGCCGGAAAAGACCGCCAGGATCCAGAACGCCCGCGTTCGCAGTGCCTGCCGCACTGTGAAGTTGGTCTCGGCGAAGCTGCTGGCGTTGCCGGAACCTTCGGCCGCCGCGGAATCCTGGTTGGCCGAGTCTTCCCGTGCCGGTACCGGGTCAGGTTCCAGCCCCATATCCTCCGGCCGCCGTGCCACCAGCAACAGGGATGGAACAACCCCCAAGGCAAGGGTCAGAATACCCAGGGTCACCCACGCCGTCCGCCAGTCATACCCCGTTATGATCAGCTGCATCGCCCAGGGGACGATGGCCAGGCCGGCCCCCTTGGCGACGGCGTCCACGGCCAGCCCCATCGGACGCCGCCGGACGAACCAGTTGCTGATGGCGGTGGGCAGCCCCAACTCCATCGGACCGGAGAAGATCATCCTCCCCGGAACGTACAGGAAATAGAAGGCCAGCGGATGGGTGACGAAGGCCAACCCAATGGCCAGCGCACCCGTGGCCAATGAACCCGCCCCGAGGATTACTCCGGCGCCGTACTTGTCCAGCCATCTCCCCACGATGGGCGAAATGAAAACCGCGACCAGCCCTCCCAGGCTGACCGCACCGGAGAACATCCCCACCGACCAACCCATGGATTGGGTCATCGGAACAACGAACACGGAAAGGGTCGCCACCGCCATCACGGTCCGGGTGGACAGGCTCAACGCCACCCCGTTCCCCGCGATTACCCAGCCGTAGTAGAAGGGCAGGGCGTGGGCCAGCCTCGTCCGCCAGGCGGTAACGTTGGTCATTGCTCTACCCCGAAAGCCGGCCGTTGCATACCGGTCTACGCATGGCGGGGCCGGTCCCGCGCCAGGCGTCCCGGCTATTGATCAAAGGTCCGGCCGTTCCAGCTCGAGTCCTAACCGTGACCTGACCCCAGTGGTTGTACCACTTTCGGTGTTACTCCGACCAATGCCGGGACCGCAGCCTCGGGCAGGTTGGTCTGCGACGCCGAAAGTGTTCGGAGTTGTCAGGTTTCCTTGTCTGGAACACGTCGTTCCTGCGAAAGCAGGAACCCAGAGCTCCTGCGCCCTGAGAAACGTGAGAACAGCAAGGATTTGCAGGATACCGGTTTCGCCGGTATGACGGCTTTGGTGTTGAGCTGCCACCTCGAATCTGAACAGTTACCCGGCGCCGAAGGCCAATAGCCCAGGGAACTGTGCGGTGTAGGTCTGCCGAGCATACAGGTGAGCCATGTTCTGTCCAGCGGCCTGGCCCGAGCAACGGTCATGGCCGACGAAGCGTCGTACCATAGACCCATTCTGCTGCTCGATCCATGCCTGGCTCGAGCCACAACAAATCGGCCGGCGCATGCGCGGGTATTTTACAAACGCGTACCATAATGATACGGTATGCCATGTTACCCCAACCTTGGCGGGACGGAAATGCCCGAACCAGAAAATGCCCGGGACCGCGTCATAGTGCAGCGGATTCGCACCGGGGACACCTACGAGGCCATCGGCAATGATTGCGGCATCACCCGCCAACGGGTGCAGCAGATCGCCGAGCGCTATGGCGTGAGGCCGCTGCGGGTGGACGAGAAGCCACTGGGTGAACCCGAACTCCTGGTGGCCCGGCTGCTGGAATCGGAACCGCGCCTCTCCTACCGGGAGGTGGCGGAGCACACCGGCCTGTCCCAGGGGCAGGTGCGCCGCGTTGCAGAGAAGGCCGGTGTGTCCTGGATGCGCTGGCCGGTGTACCGGAGAGGCATTCAACCCTGGGACTACGACGGGGACGCCGACAGCGGGTGTTGGATCTGGCGGCACGGGAAGTCGGCCCAGGGGCACGGAAGGCTCAACGTGGGGAAAGGACGGTCGGAATACGCCCACCGCTTTGCCTACGAACAGCGGCACGGGCCCATTCCGCCCGGCGCGGCGATCATCCACCTCTGCGGCAACTACTCCTGTGTCAACCCGGAACACCTGAGCGTGGATCACGCACTGGAAGGTGCGATGGCTGAGCGGCAGCAGGTTGATTTCGCGCTGGCCT